TAATTCCAAACATATTGCTCCTAAGAAACCCTTGCACCAAGGCAAAAGTGGTAAACTTATCTTCAAAATTCTTATCTTTGAGAATCAATATAATGAATTCTTGTAATACTCACAAGTATAACTTTATTAGGAAAAATTGTTATAATACCAACAAATGTTTATTTATTTTGAAATTTCTTTCACACATGTATATTTAATTAACAAAGTACACTAAAATACCTTTTAAAATGTTTTTCAAAGGAAGAATTTTAACAAGGAGCACTTAATATCATTTAATAAGCAAATGAAGCTTAAATTAGCCATAATTTTAAAAGAATAAAAAAAGATAAGGTGAATTGTATTTTCAATCATTTGTCATTTTTAATAAAAATGTAAGATGAATTTATGTTTTCAATGATTTATTTTTTAATTTAAATAAATTAAAAATCTTTAAATAGTTATTTATTTTTAAAAATTAAATATATTAAAAATGATTTTATATTTTTATTTAAAATAATATATGTTTGATATTTTTATCTATAATTATTTGAAAAATAAAATTTTTAAGGGCATATTTATATAAAATTTTTAAAAATATCTAGATATTTTAAACTAGTTATTAATAATGTATTAACTGAGTAATAATATTATTGAATATATAGTTATAAGTAGTTAGTTAAAGTTTAATACTAAATCAATACAAATTAAACTTTATAATATTTAAAATTTTAAAATGTTGAGAAAGATTACTAACTAATCCAAATATTTAATTAATGATTGTTAAGTGAAATCAACTAATTTTGATAAAAAATTTTAGAATTATTTATCATTAATTATTCTAAAAAAATTTATGATATGGATTTAGAAAATTAATGATTTTTAAATTAAGGATTTTAATTATTTAGTTGTTTTAATCCCTTAAACAACCTTTACACAAAATATAAAAATTCATTAAATAATTTTAATTTAATGTATAATTCATTAAATTGTTTTTAAAAAGAGATTATAAATATATATTTTAAATTTGCTTATAAAAACGTAATGTTTTAATTCAACTAACATTAAAATTTTAAAATAGTCCATAACCTTTTAACATTTAGAATTATTAAATGTAATAAAATTTCATTTCTCTTAGTCAGAATAGTAACTAATCATTAATTAATCATAATTATTCAATTAATATTATTAATACTTAGTTAATATATTGTTTCTAATTAATTTAAAAATTCTTACAAATCTTTTTTAATTTATACCAATGTGTTTGTAAAATATTTTTTAATTAATTGTTGGAAAATACACTAAATTATTTCTACAATAAATAAAAAATCTTTATTAATTTTAAAAATGTTTATATTTAAAAAAATATATAATTATTAAACATTTAATTTGTTTAATTTTGAAAAAAAAAGTAAATAATTAAAAATGCAATATAAATTGTATTTTAATAAATAGAAATTTAGATTAAAAACTAATTTTTAACCAATTTTTGCCCCCTTTAAAGTTATGATTAATTTAAGCTTGTTTTACTTAACAAAAATATTAAATGTGCTCTTAATAATTTCATTACCTCTTTTGAAATAATTTTAATCTTAAGATAGTTATATATACATAATGATTGTGTTTGAATGAAATTGACCTATTGTATTTAAACACATTTTCTAAATTCATTTTAGAGGAGCTTAGCAATTTGTTTTTACGACATTCTAAAGCATCCAACACTCTATTTTAAGAATATTTTATTTTTCTCTCATGGGTGTTTTATACATAAGAATAAAATGTTACTAATTCTATTTTTTCTTCTTAATTAATTTTTTTAATTCATTATATATCTTGTTAGCATGTGGCTTCTCTTTCACATTAGTCTTTTCAATTTACTTTAGCTATATAAATTTGCTTATTTCTCAATTGCTTCACACCATAAGCTAAAATGCAATCAATCTCTTCTATTATGTTAGATTTGATTGCACTTCTATTTCATATTCTGAGATTTTATAGCATTTGTAACCCACTCTATCAATGAAAAAATGCGAAATAAATCATGAACATCGAACACATGATTCAAAATTAACAATCAATAAGTAGACTTATTAACCCTATCAATCACCTTAAATGGACCTATATAACATGGACTCAATTTTTTCCCTCTACCAAACATACACGCATTTTTGATTGGGTTGGCTTTCATAAACACAAAGTCGCTAACCTAAAATTTCATATCTCAATGCTAGGAACCTCCAATTTTTTACAACCATATAAAGTCTTAGTGTGATTCTAATACTATAATGAAAACTATTATTGCAAGTAAATTCATTCGAAGATACAAGATCTTCCCATGTTTCCTTAAAATCAAGGGTACATATCCTCAATAAATCCCCAAGCACTTGAATAGTTCTCTTAGAATAACCATCTATTTGCTGGTGAAAAACTATATTGAACTTTACCCTAGTCACAAAACCCTCTTGAAGACTTATACGTAAGTTAAAAATAAAATTGTCATCGTCATCAACATGATAACATTTAGGCGGTGTTGGTCGCAATTTGATTTTACATTAAACAAGCTTTATCAAATCCTGTTAAATCCAGATTTAACAAACTTCCGCGGGCAACGACGAACGACATCCCCGTAAATCCGCCTCATAGGTGGATTTAATAAATTCAAATTTACGTTGTTTATTTAACAGAACACGAGGAATATGCAACGACGCAAAAATTTATGTTTTAACGGATTGTTGGATTAAGTTCAGATTTTTTTATGTTTGGCAGGATTTAAATTAAATTCATGACTATATCCCATAAATAATATGCTACCAAACTCTCTCTTAAATTTTCATATAATTAGGCAATCACACACATATATAACCATGTGAATCTCTTTAACCATATATGTTTTGCCTCTTGAGAAGAAAAAAATGTCTAACTTGAACGACTCCTTTCTTATCGGATACTCATTAATCACCTCCCTAGACTAACCTGTCATTAGGGGTGTAAACGAACCGAACACGAACGAACAAAGCTTGTGTTCGTGTTCGGTTCGTTTAAAATTTAGTTTGTTTGAAATAAGCTCGTGTTCGTTTCTTAACGAACGAGCCGAACACGAACCACAATATCTATATTAGTATATTACTACTACTATAGTATATTAATATATTATTATTATTATTTTATTATATATTATAATTTATAAAATTTAATGTTTTAAAATATAATAAATTTTTTATATATAATTATTTTATATTATTTTATATTTCAAACAATAACGATTCGAACACGAACGAACACATCACTGTTCGTGTTTGGTTCGTTTAACTAACCGAACGAAAAAAATTTATTCGCGTTTGTCTCGTTTACTTATCGAACGAATCGAACACGAACTCATTAACGAACCGAACACGAACTGTTCGCGAACAACGAGTTTTTTTGACAGCCCTACCTGTCATATTTCTTCAATTATTGCTCTAAAGCAATATCACGGAATGACATATCCCTCCAGTCTAAATGGCACCAAAACAGTCGAGATCGATTCTACTGTTCAGTGCCAGTATTTTTTCTATAAATTCGATCACACTCTACTTCAATGCGGGCGGCACAGTATTCCCCAAATCACGTATCAGCGGACGCCAAACGCATCAACGAAATGCGTTGAAGTAGAACTCCAAGTCCGTCACTTCAATTTGAAAGAAAACAGGTGACCGCAAATGGAAATAAATAAATTTACAGATAATAAGTATATATACTCCCTCTGAGCTGGGAGTGAGATCAGGTGCGCGGCCAAAGCTGTGAGCTTTTACAGAAGCGAAGCCTGCGCCTGTACTTCTCACATTACTCTAAGTTTTGGTTTTTATAATCTGCTGTGAAGGTGAAGAAGTATCAGATGGGGAGATCGCTGAACTCCTGCTTCAAAATCATGGCTTGCGGCGGCGATTCAGCCAGAAAAGACGACGTCTTTCTGCCGCCGGAGGTATCTGTTCTACTCGTTCATCGCGCTGGTCTAAGATCTGAAGCTTCTGCGGCATTGCTTCAAAATCTGATTTTTTGATTTGTTTTTCGGTATTGTTAAGCTGATCTTGGTTGGTTGGTGCGGTGCTGAATTGGGTTTGCTGTAGGTTTAAGTCCTGTTTGGGAATTTGAGCGATTGGATCAACATTTGTGAAGAGTGGGGATGGATAATGATCTTCACTTTGGTTTTCAATTATCCATTTTACAAGTTTTTTTAGAGAAGGTTGGGGTTTCTGAAAGTGAGTCACGAGCATTGTTCCTCACAGTATGCACTTGGTTTGTAATGATACTTAATAGGAAGCCATAGAGGGTTCTATGGGATCTTTGAAGTTTCTCCTTGGTCTGTTAATATGTTTTTGGATTTATGGGCTTCTTTTGGATGGATTTGATTAACATGTTTCCAGATTATTAGGTTACCTAGCATAAACCAGATAATTAACCTTCTAATTACCATTGTTTGAGGAGTTAAACAGACAGCAAATGTTACATTATTTTCATTCTAGGGATAGAGGTGCCCCTTTTGCTTCTAAAATTATCATTTTTGTGAGCATAATTAGAGATAATTGGAACTTCATGCATATAAATGTTTCAGTTTCTGGAATTTCATAACACCATTAGTATTATATTATATTTTTAGCACAGATTTGCTCATGAATACAAAATTGTGTACCATGTGCTTCATTCCAAAAGATCAGCAAAACCTTTTTTGGACAAACTTCATTCCAAATAGACAATTTATTTGGAATGAATTGTCTATTTTAATTTCAGCAGTAATTCTTCATATTTAATTAGGACAGTTTCAAAATCTTATATGCATTGAAAACTATAGACCCTTACATTGGTTTTTTTCGTATATTTTAGTGCAAGGATTCATTCGATCATGATCATGTTATCAAGCTGTAAACTATAACTTCTTTGTTAAGAAATTCTAATATGTTTAACTTCTGCAGAGTAAAACATCACCAGGTAAGCATAGATGGAGCTTTCAGAAGAGATCTGCCACGCACAATGTGGTTTCAGAATCTATGCCTGATGTGAATAATAAACAAAACCAAAATGCGGCTTCCGATACTGTAGTTTTCAACATTGTGGAGGAGGCAAATGAAATTTCAACATTGGCATCAGCTGTAGCTCCATCCAGGGAATCTGAGCAAGTTACTGATAAATCTACCTGTAAAGTCGATCACAATGTTCAGGTAGACATTGTGGTGGCCGTCCAGGCTTCTATTCGGGGATACTTGGTAAGCCTTTGTCAAACTCTAGGGAGCTTGCAGGTTACTTGGTTTTTTGTTTTTTTCGGAAATTTGCATACATGGCACACAATTCTTATGTATTACCTAATTCACATCTAAATATTCATATTCACATGCATATCACTTTGGTGCTTTAAGGCAAAGCATGAATAGGTGTATTCCACTTTTAGAACGTGATCATAGTGCTATTTTTAATTTGATATTAAAAATTTGAGTGTTATGTGTGTAAATATGAAAGTTTAGTTATGAGATATGTAAATACATAAGAATTGTGTACTATGTATGTAAATGTCCTTTTTTTTTCTTGAAATTATTTTACATATTTTCAGGCTAAAAGAGAACTTCAAAAAATTAAAAATGTTGTAAAGCTTCAAGCTGCAATACGTCGATATTTATACATCGATATTTGGTCAGGACACAGGCTATTGGAACTTTGCGTTGCATATTGGCTGTTGCCAAAATTCAACAGATTATACGGGCTCGTCTTGCTATCCGATCTACAGATTTTGCTGCAAAAGAGAAGCTTAATGAGGAAATGAAAGCACAAAAGGTAGGTCCTTAGGCCTGAAATATATCTTGTAATTTTCTTTACAAAATATATTGCTTTTGCTAGCATAATGTGCTTAATAAAAGATCCATTTTTGCTTATAGGAATAACTTTATAGAGAATTTTTTCATTACATGAGATTTTTTTCTCTATTTTTCACCTCATTCTAGGTGAAGAACATTGAAAGGAAATCGAAGAAAACTCCAATTGTTATCAGAAACTTAGCATCCAATCCATTTGCTAGCCAGGTGTGATTTTTAATACTCTTCTATGCTTTCCCAAAGTTATTTTTTGAGCAATAATTTGCCTATATTTTTTTATTTTGTGACTTTTGATGTTTATGACCAGCTTTTAAAGTCTACACTCAAGACAAAACCCATTCACATCAGCTGCAATCCTTCAAGTCCTGATTCAAAATGGATATGGTTGGAGAGGTGGATGTCTTTAACATCATCAGATCCAAAAAAACTAATTTTGAAACAGGATGATTTGGGAGAGGATGTTAACACTGATCTGAATCCTTGTGAAGCCAACAATAAGTTAACTTGTAGTGATCCAGTTCTTCCAGTTGACATTGTGATCGATTCAATAAGCAACTGTTCTGAAAAGATAGAACTTGATAATCCCATATCTATACAGAAGCACTGCTCAAAGTCTCAAGTTCTGAATGACCAACTTGAATCACATACTGAGGAGACAATATCGAAGAATGAATGCTCTAATTCCCTTCACAGTGAAATCTTTCTCTCATCAGATCCAGTTTCAGAGTTCAAGCTGAATGGTGACTCTAATAAACCAAATCATTCTGAAGAAATGAACAAGAATAGTGCCAGAAAGGAACTCCATGAAACCCCAGAGATGGAAACAGGTCGAGTCATGATTGAATCCAAAAAGTCTAAAAACCCAGGCTTTGCTGCTGTACAGGCCAAGTTTGAAGAGCTGAGTGCTGCTTCTAGCTCAAATAGATCACTTAGTCATGCCTCTAAGGATACCAAGAGTGATTCCAAATCAGTTCATTCTCAGTTCAACGAACTTCGCCCGATAGAAAATAATGACGTTACCTTTGAACTTGGCAATGAGATTTCAACGACTTCCATAGCTGACAGATCAGAGGCTGGGCTTTCTGAACTTGTTCCAGAAGTTGGAACCTCAAAAGGAAAATCCTGCATTGTTGCAAGCAGTACTGAGCTCAACAGTGGGGATATGGCTGCTGAAAATGAAGACTTTTTATGTGATTCAAATGAAGGTCAGCGGCAAATAATGGCTGAGATCAGTGAAAATTCAGCCAGATTAAGTAATACTCCCGAACCCATACGAGTTAAACAACAATCTGCTGAATCAACTACATCGAATACGCATATGACAGACTCTTCAAAAGGTCCAAAGATTGATAGGTCATCACAAGAAGGATCTCCCAGAAGCCATGTTACCGTCCCTGAGTCACAGTGGACACCACCGAGTCAAATATCAGCTCATGAAAAGACAACAAAGGCGGAAAATAATGTCCCCTTAAGGAAGAAAAGGCTGCAAATACTTATCAACAGTTCGCCTACGAATTTGAAGAATGATTCGGGGGCACAAACCAGCGGAGAACATTTGAAGAAGGAGATGAAAAGTGTGAAAAGAAGGAACTCATTTTCGACGGTTAAAACTGATCATGTTGATCATGAAAATTCAAGTAGTGGTAGCAATTTGCTTCCTAGTTACATGCAGCCGACTGAGTCAGCGCGGGCTAAGGTCAACATGAGTTTGTCTCAGAAATTGAGTCCAGATCTGCACGACAAAGACAATCACGTAAAGAAGAGACAATCATTACCAAATGGGGACGGAAACCAGGGCTCGTCCCCTCGAATGCAGAGGTCAACTTCACAGGTGCAGCAGAATTTGAAGGGAAATGGGATTCATTCTCCTCATAATTCTACTGGTAAGATTTCCGCCTTTGTCTTTTTAATTCTTGCGTTTTATATTAGTATTCTCTGAGGCAATTTTTTTTAAAAGTTTATTGATTTTTTTTATTTCTTAATAAATATCATATTAATATAATTATGATTTATGAAACTGTGAATATTACTGTTTGCTTAATGCAGTATGTGGAATTTCATGTTAGTGAGTTATGTGATAAGATTTGGTTTGGCCTTGCAACCGTGGAGGAAAAATTAGAAATGGCATCAATATTTAGTTCACATATTTTGCTGAAGAAAATCAATATAGCAATTTTAAAAGAGGCCTAGTGCTACTACTGCTTTCTATTTTATTTTTTTGCCTTAAAATTTTGGGGGCTTTGTGATTTTTTGACATCTGCTATGTTGTGACGTGCTATTAGTAGATGTCAATTGTTTTGTTTGGTGAATTTTTAAGTAACAATTACATAAATGATATTTGAGTCAAATTTTGACGATAGATACAGTCAATTCTGCTTATATATAAATGTTAGGCTATCTAAGGCAAGTTTTAAGTTTCGGTAAAAAAATCAAGAGCTTGCTTGAAATCACTTTTGTTTTTTGTTTTTTTAATTTTTTATTATTTTTTTATTTCTTTTATTTTATAAACATGTTTTTTTTTTCTTTAAAAAAAATTAACTTTTTTTAAAAATGCTCGATGCATTTAGAAGTTGTTTTGAGTGTTTGAACAACTAAACATGTTTTATTTCAAGGAAAAATGCAGACAGATTAAAATAAAAATAGAAAATCAAAAGTGATCCCAAACGGCCCATAAATAGTCATATAATTTTGATTTGCTTTTGGTCGAAACTCGGCCAATCTCATCTAACTTACCTTGTTTTGTAAATGTTATCATGTAGTGAGGTATTAACGCTTATAACTTTGTCATCTTTAGACTGTTTATAACTTATCTTGTTTTGCAAATGTTATCATGTAGTGGGGGTAATTGGTTTTGAAATTTTATCTTTTTGCAGTTTTAACTTATAAGTTTAGGGGAAGAAGTTACCGGCTGGGTGGGTGGGGCCATAAGGGAATGAATTTTGTCCTCTAGCCATGTTTTTAAGTTGAGGAATTCGTGAGTAGTCTTAATGCTCTGATAGCAACTTAGTTATCAGTGGGTGCCATACATAATTAGCAAGTGTAGTTTGAGGAGTAGCTCAATATTAATGGCATTATTAAATTTCTATTCCTATTGTAGCATGTTTTATTTCAACAAAGAAGTGTAGCAACAACTGCCAAAGTAAAATTACCCTGACTCAATAGAAGTATAAATAGAGTTACCCCATAAACTTAAAAGTACCAAATGAGATCTATTGCTGAAAAGTTTCCTTATGTGACGATAGTCCACTAAGTGTTTTGGTAGTTTCTACTATAAAAAGGATTTACAACGAGTGAGTTTGATTATTCAAATCTAGTAAATAACAATTATTTATTAATTTTAAATGGCGGACAATGGGGGCATTCAGTATGAATAATAAAAATCTATGATTTAATGTATAATAGTAAGTAATAAGTTTTATAATTTCAGCTGGTTTTAAATATTATTTCATTAATAAGTGGGTGTCAAATGTTTTGAAGTAATATGTAGTACAGTTATGCTCATGATCATCTATATGATATATTGTAAGCAATCTATTTCGATGCTATATGTGTCATTGTATTAGTTACACTCAAAATTATCTTATACGACTCATCAGCATTTGTGTCAAATGTTCAACATATATTGTATAGTCAATATGACAATTGCTAATTTTCTAAGAAGTCATGATTTACAAGAAAAAATTCAATTACATTCAATACGGGTGATCTGCAAGAAAGCTAGATCATGCTACTACATGAATCAATTAAAAAAATAGGAGGTGTGCAATAATTCAAGACAAAATTATTTATGCAACTAACTAGTTTATTATGAAAATAACAAGAGATTTACATCATATGCATAACAAATAAAGGCAAGATTGACAACTCATAAAATATTTAGGAATCTATTACAACTATAAAGTATAACTTATCTAACGAGGTTGATGACTTTTCTCAGTAACTAAGTATTACTTTCCTCTGTATGAGTTGTATGAAAATTCATTTTTTTTTTGAATTCAACCAACGACATCTGGTGAATTTCAGCTTGAAGGTCCTGCATAATACGAATTCTGAATCAATATTTGAACTATAATAAATATTCAAACACACGATGATGCAAGACCTAATCTTCTCAAATTAAATTATATTAAGCATTAAATAAACACATTAAAAGTAAGTGTGGATATTAATTTGTTTAAAAAAAAAAATCAAATTGAACCAAGTATATTTTGTTGATTTGATTCAGTTTATGAAATCATAGCTCAATTTTTTGTTTCATCTTAGAAGTTTATTGGATTACGATTATTGGTTTAGTTCTAACAAAAATTTGTTAAATCAAAAAAATTGAATTATATTATGGTTAAATAAGATATGTTATCCAAGACATTCGAACTAATCGAATGCACACCCTTTTTAAATATTTTTTAAACCAAAATCAAACTGAATTAATGAAATTATATCGCAATCTTGTTTGGCTCCGTTTAGTATATTATTTAGTCAGTTCGATTTTGTCTATTATTTGATTTGGTTTTTTGGTTTAACAAATTTGTCAATTAGTCCAACTGAACCTTCTAAGTGCACACCCCTAATTAAAAGTTATTATTCAAAATTTTTCATTATAAGCTACTCCAAAATTGACCAAATCTAATTGTTACTATTGTGAGATATGACAGTATATTAGATCTTTTGTTTTGAAATAATTTATAGTCATCTCTAAATCCATGATATCATAATTAAAACCTAAGCAATAGATAGCAATGAATCAATTAATCAAAAATAAGTTTCATAAGAAGTCAAATTCTTCTTACCCAACCAAGCAAAAAAGATGAATTGACATAGTCTTAAGGAATGAAAGGAGAGAGAGGAGGATAAGAAGCATATAATACACAAACAAGGAAGAAAATGAGGGCTCACAAAAGTTGGTGGCGCTTAGTCTTCAGAATAGTGGAAGCTTGTGAGAATTCAATTGAAGGATAATGACAATGGGGTCCCTTAAGGATCCTGGGCTGAACCAGTTGTATCCAGCTACTCCTAGTTCAACCAAGAGTTGGGTCGGCCGACCCGTAGTGTGGGTCTAGGGTTGTCACCCAAAGGGGGGATTTCACTCTTAAGCTATCTAATACTATGTAAATTTTATGTTCTCAGTTTAAGGTTTCAGTTCTTTCTAATTATAGTTTTCTTGCCGTCAGCGTTGCTCCCTGGTTGTATCTAGTGCTCCAGCTGTAATCTGCTCTGAGGTGGTGACTACTTCCCTACATTCCACGCTTGCCCCCTCTCCCTGCTTGCCGCCCTTCCTCCTGCCCCTCCCTTTCACTATTCTACCCGATCGCTAGCCCCTATACCGCTCTCCTACTGCTGCCGCGGATATTATCAGCACATGTTATTTCCACCGATTCCGTCAGCACCCTTGTTGCTGTCGTCGTCCCTCTATCTTTCCACTGTTGCCACCGCCATCTCCTCCAACACCTCCTGTTATTGTCGCCAGCCCTCCATCCAAACCTGTTGCTTCCACTACCCCCTCCAGCAACCTCTGTTGCAACCGCAAGCCCTCCAACATTTTTTGTTACTGCCGCACCACCTACTCTGATGGGGATCTTATTCGTAGAATTCAAGTTGGTTGGTTGAAGTGGAGGAATGCACTGGGCTTATTGTGTAATAGAAAAGTACTGCTTAGATTTAAAGGAAGATTTTATATGATGGTTGTGTGACCTGCAATGCTCTATGGTGCATAATGTTGGCCTTTAAAAGATAAGCATAAAATTAAGTGTTGCTGAGATGAGAATGCTTGGGTGAATGAGTGACTTGACATTTAGAGATAAAAAGTGAAACTAATCTATTCGTTAAAGGGTTGGTGTAACTCCAGGGGCAGAAAGTATTAGAGAGAGTCATCTTAGATGGTTTGGTCGTAGTGAACGTCAACTATCTAATGATCCGGTTAGGAGAGTACATGATTTAGATTCGACTTATGTTAAGAAACGTAGAGGTGGAACTCATGAGACTTGGGCATATTATATAAAAAATGATCATAATTTTTTAGAATTAAATGAAAATATGACTCCCAATAGAACACAATGGAGAATAGGATTCATGCAGCTAACCCCACTTAGTGGAATAAGGGCTTGTTGTTGTTGTTGTCGTCCTTTTGAAGAAAGAGAATAGAAATTTGATGTCTTATTCACTTTGCAATGGTGTCTAGGCATACAAAATGAATAAACAGAAAAAACGTTTAAGAAAATTATAAATGTAATTAAAGAAGATTCAACCCCAAAATATACTTTCCTCATATAATAATTTTCTAAATTTTTTTCCAATACACGACTCCTCCAAAATGGAACATATGAATTGATAAAATATGCTATCAATTTGTATAGGACCTACTAGAGACCCTTAGATCCAAACTCCAAACAAAATTAATAAAAGAATCTAGTTTGTTACCCTAGAAAGAGCAATTCTAAACCCATGAAAACTTGTCTCCCTATCTATTTGCACTTCCCCTCGGACGATTGCGATGGTTCTATCCAAAGTTAAGTGCGGTATTAACTAGTTGGAAAAATCATAGTCCTCCCGGGTTATTATGTTTTGCAACAGATTTTAATCTCAGAAGTGATTTGTTTGCAAAGTTAACGAAGAATCGGTGAAAATACCATCATAATTTTGTAAAATAAAAAGAAATATTCAAATCATTCTCATCCCACACATGATTAAATCTCATCACAAGGAAGAGCAAGGAAAACTACTCACTAACCATGAAGAAAATTGTCTCTTATTTTGAACTTGGAACATGAGGAGTAAGAATATTCTTAGAAAGCATAACATTTAACATTAAAGACTTCTAACATATATTTTAATAAATATATACAAGTATTTTATAAATGGTCATTAATAATGCTAACAAAGTAGTGAAACCCTACATGATTAAAGCATGATTCTCAGCCCCAATAAAGGATTGAACTTACTCATATATAAAAAAACAATGAAAATTAGTTGATGATGATAGGAACAACACATGATGATGTTTACCCAATTCACGACTAGGACATTCATATTTGGAGGAAGGAAATGCGATAAGTTCTTATAGTCAAAAGATACAATGAGTTGAATAAGAAGTTACAAATTAATTGTGTGGTTGTGAAGCAGTAGATAGCTAATAAATTTTTTAAAATTTGGGTAACGTAACACACATCTGAAGGAGTAAGATTTTGGGAAGGGTGAATAAAAGCCTTCTACAAAATTAGAAGATGGCGAAAATGTCGGCTACAATGCAAGTGGAAGCGTGCATGCTAATGTTTATAGTTATGGATGACAATACGATATGGGGAACCGTCGCCTACGTATAACACTCCTAAACTTTCATATTTACATTTATTACACCTTGGTATTTTTAATTTGATATTAAAGATTTGGATGTTATGTAACTGTGCATATATTCATGATTAGAAATATTATATTTTGCTCTCATTGCATTCTGTTGGATTGTTAATGCAAAATAAACTAATTCAGATCCAACTTAATATCATATTCTGAATTATTCTCTTCCCTTCTATCAGACAGGAGATGGCTAAGATGACCAATACCTTCAGAAAAGTCTGCTGTTCAACAGAAAAAGTGACTGATACCAAGTTATTCTCTCTGGTTATTGTTATTCTATCAGATTTTGCAAGCTTCTGCTGCAGTTATGAGCTTGTGAGAGTTTGTGATTATTAATTGTTACCTGTACATTGCCTTCATCATCTGGGTGGTATATTTTTGGTTTCTAAGTTCTGAATCCATCTCATGAGAGCTTGTTTATCAACTTCTAAGAGACTTTCTAGTTGAGTTTTGATTGCTGAATTCAGTTTCTGTTCTTTTGTTTTTTAACTTAATATTGTAATAACTATTCTTTAAGCTTAATATTTTTGTTTGGTTGATTCTAACTATGGGGAATTGTTTTTTCTTATATGTTTAGCCCTATACTTTGCTTTTAAAATATGGATTTATTTAGGCAATTTATATGATTTGTAATTTGTAAAAGGGGAAACTTGCATACATACCACCAAATTCATATGTATTTATTATGTATCTAGCAACCAAAATTTCACATTTACATTTTTTAACATTTTAGTGTCATTAAATTAACTTATTATGCATGAGTAGATATATTTCACTTTTAAAAATATAGCGATTGTGATATTTTTTATGCGATGTTATGTAAATATGAAAAAAAAAACTCTTGCATTGACAATAACTCTGATGAGAACTGCTGAAGCTGAGGAGCTGCATTGGTGCCTCTTGCATTGATAATAAGCTTACTAAGGTTGTCATGAATATGATAAGATATACTAAAGGGCATTTATAACATTTATATGAATGGATTGAATTTTGGGATATTAACATATGCAGCACTATAAATATTGATATTTATAAAATTAACACTCATAATTTTTTTGAACTATCTAATCCATGCATCTAAGAATGTCACCATCAAACCATTGAGTATTTAATAAAAATAAAAATAAAATCTGGGAAAAATAGATAGAAGAATATGCTAGATTTTTAATTTTACATAAAAATATTATTATTACAAATTTTTAAGAAAATGAAATGCACATGTCAATGTATAAATATTAAAAATTAAGTATTAGATATATAAATACATAAGCATTGTATTGTGTGATATGTATGCAAATTTCTTATATTATACTTGTATTGTAGACTGTTTATTTAATAGGATATTTGAGTCACACTTATTATTGATTTTGGTATGTACATTGTAATACATTCATACTTGAATAAACCATGACAATAGTATGTTTCTATGAGCGTGCTTTGCCTATTCTCGTTTACTTAATTATGAAATAGTATAATAATTTTTTTAATATAAAATACAAATCTATATGAAATATTAATATGGAGAATGTCATACCTTTGATATTACAAGTCAACTATATCAACATGAGATAATTTCTTAAGAGATTATGATGATTCTCTTCAAATTATAATAAAATTATTTTAAAATATGTGAGATCTACAGCATTCTTCGGTATTTACATATCTAACATGTAAACTTTCATCTATATACATAATACCTAAGAATTGGGTGGCATAGCATATGAGCCAAACAAAACTGAAATTGAGCGCATAAAATCAGTCTGATGAACCAGAAAAATTTGCGTACGTACGCAACGCTATGTACGTCAGAGAGGTTATTCAGAGGATATTGGAGGGTTATATCTGTGTTATACCCCTTATAACCTCCCTGTAATCTACCTGTAACCTACAAATATATGAAAACAGAAGCGTAGAACTTACTAGAAGGTACAAGTAGGTTACAGTTAGGTTATAGGGGGTATAACGTGGATATAACCCCCCAATACCCTCTGAATAACCTCTCTAACGTACGCAGCGCTGCGTACGTCTTACGTTTGCAAATTTTTCTCCCGATGAACACCACAAACCTTAACAGAAGAATAAAAACCCAAACCAAGAAGAAATTTCAGTGAGCAAAGCCTAAATAAAAGTCACAGCTGCTTCAAATTATCATTGTTTGAAACACAAAATAGGCAGAGAGAAATGCAATCTGGAGGTTTTTTGAATCAAAGTTTAGGCCATCACATCAGAGTCAGGCAGTCCTCTTGATGATATGCACGCCGCTGTCTGTATCCACGATGCCGCTTATCTCTCCGACTTCCAGACCAAAAGCCGCTTCCTCGAAAGGCTTCTGCATCTGCCCTCTTCCAAAACGACCTGCACCAGTTCCATGAACGTTTGCATCAATGTATTTACATATCTAGCATCTAAACTTCATTTTTATACCACCCATACTTTTAAAAAGTTAAATACACCATTTCAGGCAATAGGTCATGTGGTATAATATGTAAAAAATGAAATTTGGGTGTTATATGTGTAAATTAATAGGAATTAAGTGGTATGCATGTAAATTTTCCTTGAAAAAATCTGAAGCTGAAGAGTTTTACTGTGGAAAACAGAATGAGAACCTTCTGACACGGGCATAAGGGCAAGGGTTTAGTATTGGCAGCATATTGAAACCTGCTTCTGAGTGGTGGCCTTAATTTGTTGGGGCATTTACCTACATACCACATAATTCTTATGTGTTCGCATATCTACCACCTAAACTTCAATATTTACATTTCAAACACTAAAATTTTCAACATCACATCCAAAATATCATTCAACAGTGTTATAAATGCAAATATCAAACGTTGGGTGTTAGATAGATATGTAAATCCATAAGAATTGTTACCTAATTTGTTTGCATAAAACTATTCGAAGGTACCATAAAAAGAAAAGTATGCCAAAACTGAATGATGGAAACATGCTTGTGTTTTAAGGGTTTCATTTCATCTTGTATAACTGTGAACTTAAATATTATTGATGCAGGATGGTTAGGGGTTGAGGCTTGCTAATGCAATCTAAGAAGAGATGTATAATGAAAACACATGCAAATCACAATCCTCCAGTTGCCAACTTCTAAATCTAACAAAAATTGGTTGCTCACTTGCTTGTAATGTGCACTTCATTCTAAATGATAATTTAGTAGTTCATCAAAATAAAAAATTCCGTAACAAACTACAAAACAAATGTAAAAGTCTTCCGAACGACCTACGTTGATACTATGAAAATGAAATTTGATGTCGTGCTTGATAAAATACATCAAATACATCAAATTTCAAATACGCATACACACTGATGATTAAATAAATTAAAATAAAAACGGATAATCAACCAAAGGAAGCAGGGGCAATTACATACATAACAAACAAAATATTATTATTTACATATCTAGTACCCTCTTTCATTCATTTTTCAAATTCTCACTCAAATATCAAAATTCAGGATAAACCCCAACCCTTATTTTTCAGTTTTACCAAATTCTCAATGATCGGATCATTGGCACCCATAAATGCATATGTTCAGTAGCTAAAAAAAATCACATGTGTGCTAATTTTGTATTTAGCAGTGCTTTTAGTGCTATGTATGTAATAATCCCAAAAACCAAGCATCATAGTGGTATAAGGAGACCTGCGCTCTAACGTAGGTAGGCTTTCACGCTTGATCACTCCGAGAATACGCATCTAATGTTGTTCTTGCAAAACTCTATTATCCGATTTTAAGATGCTTTAAATTTATAGTTCCCAAATGACCCAAAAGAATAAATTTCTCAATATGTCAAGATCTAGTCAAGTATAATAAGTTACAATGCATCCTTCATTAAAACTAGCAGCATCAAATCATCCATAGAAAGTCCAAATCCTAATCCATAAAGTCCTATTAGATTATCCAAGGACCCTAGACAAAGAAAAGTGATAGCGACAACAATTTCGGCAGAGCCAAAAATCACAGTAAATAGAGATGGCAATAACGAAATCAGGTGTGTACTAGAACAGGGTGTGCTAGATGTGACAATAGCAGAAATAAAGTGTAGTAAAGGGGAAAACATAAAGGTTTAGAAGATAGCAAAGGCTGCAACACGGGAAGCAGGCATTGGGAAGTAAAAAATCAACAATTAGTAAGGCAAGGAATCCAAAGGGTGGCAGGGTACAGTAGCCCAACATCAGGTATCCTTTCAATCATCACAAAAATTGTTGAAATGAATATGAACTCTAGATGTGCTAACATGGAATTCAATGGATTGACTCGAAACCCTGTAATAATGAACTAAACCTAACAAAATAGTCAAAATGCTGAAAATACATTATGTTCATATAGAAGCCATCATCATAGGTATGCTTTACATAAAATAAAGTAGAAGAAAATAAAATATAACGATCAAACTCATAATGGTCATCACTTTCTATACACTTATAGATTTTTTTCAACCATCTTGGTGTAGATCTAACAGAAAACAATTATGAAATTCTCAAACATCCCAAATTTTAACAAGAAAGAGAGTGCGCCAAGTCGGATGGGCAAATAACCAAGGATAGTGCGGCAACACTTCAATAATTTCAAAGCGCAAAGAACAAGGCACCATTTTTACACTATAGGTGTTGCAGAGCAAAGCGATACTTTTCTTAATTGAAACGCACAAAATTTGTATATCTAAAATTCATATGCCAAAATACCCACTTTATTAGCCAAAAAATAAACCACATTATGAAACAATTTCTTTAAAAAATAGACATAAAAAAGCAGTAATAAAAAAGATAAATACAAAATAAATTATTATATTACAAAAATAGATTATAAGAAAACAAGTTGAATCAAAGGGAGATAGAAGTTGAGGACTTAAAGCAGCTCGGCTTTCCTTACAGGACAGAATTTGAATCACAATTTAATGGTGGTGGTATATATTAAGGGCTGCTTTGTTACACTAAAAGTGTCTGAAAGTAATCTAATCTCACTTTTAGAAGGCAGTTCAAGCATTTGGTTGATTGAACAAGATGGATTTGAGTTCTCATTCTTGAAACAAATTGCAAAGAGGTAAGAAGAGAATTCCAAGGAGTACAAAATAATCTTTAGCTTTAAATTTTTACATACAATAATAATAGAATAGTACTAAATTAGGCTACTACTTTGAATTAGCCTATTACTTTGAATTATCATAATAATAATAAGGTAATAAAAATTAATTAAGGTTGGGTATAACTAAAAATTACTATATATGTGTAAACTTCATAAAAATGTAAAGCAGAGCCAAAGCAAACAAGATATTGTAACGACATAGAACTTATTCATGATAATTAACCAATGATGTAAATGAATAAATAAATAAATAAAGTAAATACAACCACCATTCATCCAAACATAATAAGGCAAAATTAAAATAAACTCAACCATTAGTACATTAACCTTATATTTATCCAAACTATTATCTCATATCCATATTAACTTACACTGCACTGGATATTAATCTTATGTTTACCCAAACTATTATGACCAACTCATATCCGTATAATTAGCACTTGCCAAATGCTCAAAGCTTTCTAGTCCTTCCATAAAAGTGTTCTTGCCACAAACTCACATACCCAATATAAAAATCGAATATTTAATACTTTGATGATTCCACGCCTTATTAAATAGGCATCCTACCTTCAATATACATCAGCCTTAATATTCACATTCTACATAACCTCATCATGTATTTTTGTGATGCTTAGCATTATATTTATACATCCAATAGTTGACTTCATTACAATTAATTAAAATTTTGCTGTGAAATGCAACAATAATCTCATTCTATAAAGCATCCCAGCAGCCACACTCACATGTAATCATATTTGATTTATCTTTAAACATATCCCAATGTTCGTTAATAATATATTTGAGGAGTGGAACACTGGGACGTAAGCTAATTGGGATAAGGAAATAATAATGAAAATGATCTATGGTGTAACAAATATTTGTAAAGGAAAGGCCACATTATGCGAATCTTGTTCTCACCAAACAATAACAACAAGCTTTTATCACATTAAGTGTGGTCGGTTACATGAATCCTTTTCTCCATTGCGACCTATTGAGTTTCAGATTTTCATTTAAGTCTAATAGATTAATATCATTTTTTATACAATATGCCTATACCTTTTTTGGTATACAGCTGCCTTTCTTAACATAAGTGAAATCTAAAATATCTATTCCACTAACAAGATCATCAGATGGTCGAAGTTTAATGTGACCAAACCATCGAAGACAATTCTCTCTAATCTTGTCCATCACTGGAGCTACACCAACCCTATCACGCATATATTCATTTCACATTTTGTCTATAAGTGTCAAGCCACTTATCCACCTAAGCATTCTCATCACAACAACACTTAATTTTGTTTTATGCTTCTCTTTTAAAGGCCAACATTCTGCGCCATAGAGCATTACAAGTCTCACCATCATCTCATAAAATTTTCCTTTCAGTCTAAGCGATACTTTTCTATAACACAATTGGTCTGATGCATTCCTCCACTACAACCAACCAAACAACCAACCAACTTGACCAACCAACTTGAATTCTACTAATAACATCCTCATCATTATCACCATCACTTTAAACAACAGACCCAAAATATCTAAAATGATCACATCTTTTAATGATTTGATCACCATAATTGCAACTTTGTCACTAGAGCTACTACTACTAAAATTACATCCTATGTATTCAGTTTTAGATCTACTTACATGAAAGCTTTTAGACTCCAATATAGACTTCCATAATTTAAGTTTTTCTTGAACTCTTTCTCCAGTCTTATCCATAAGAAGGATATCATCAGCAAAAAATATAAACCAAAGTACATCCTTCTGTAAATGTCCAGTAAGAGCATCCATAACTAAAGCAAAAAAGATATGGGCTCAAAGCCAATCACGGATGTAAACCAACTGAAATAGAAAAATACCTGGTCATTCCTCCTTCTGTTCGAACACAAGTAATTGCTTTAGCATAAATATCTTTTAATGACAATGAAAGTAAGTCATATCAATACTTTTCTTCTCTAGAACTCTCCAAATGACTTCTCTTGGAACCTTATCATAAGTTTTTTTCTAAATCAATAAAAATTATATCTAAATCCTCCTTATTCTCACTGTATTTCTCCATCAAACCTCTCAATAAATATATAGCTTCCATTGTAGACCTGCCTGACATAAATCCAAACTGATTATGAGAAATCTTTGTATCGCGTCAACTTATATTCAATCCAAATTGATTTTTTTGCTTTAAAGTATGACACATCAACTTAATTCTTTTATAAATTACACACTCTTGTGCATCTCCCTTATCCTTAAAAATGAGGACATAAATACGCTTCCTACACTCAGACATATTTTTTAGTTTTTAAAGAATATTAAAGAGATTAGTAAGCCAAGAAACTCTAAAATCTCCTAAATATTTCCACACTTCAATTGGGATATCAAACAAAAAAAAAATTAAATGGAATTCAGATGCCTGAATAAAGCTACAAAGTTAAAAATATCAAAACAAATGTTATATAACCACCATCATATCAATAAGATATTAAACCAACCAATATATTTTTGCAATCAAGATGGTTGAATTAAAGATATCCTCAATTATTAATGAATAAAAACTTATGATTACAATAAACTATACAAATTACAATTGTTGAAAACAACCATGACACCTAAGTTTTCAGCAAATCAAACAATTTATAAACCATGTTTATACATCGTTGTTACTATAACAGTTGTGGCACATGCACCTTTTGTGCTGAATTTGCCACCCCAAAGCATACCTGTCTGGCTGCAAGAGCGATATAAAATGTCCAACTTTGACTACTATTTGAGCAACACCCTTTACTACAAAGATCTAAATTGATACTAAACCAGGTAAGCTAAATAAAAAGCCATGAAAAATAAAATTAAATCAATTCCAATTCTCTCCAAAATCCAAATTCAAGCATATATTATCCAAAGAAAATAAATTAATGAAGTAAAAAGAACAAAAAAATATGTGAATTCTAGTGAAAATATGGTTTAAAAAAAATTTGGAGATTGGTCTGTTATAACTTCTTTGATTGACTTATAAAAATTGGGTTAATAGGCAAAATTAATTGATTTGTGCTGCACTAATTCATCCAGCCATCAAAGCTTTCTTCTTCAAAAACGTTTGCAGGAGGCTTGCAAGATCGATAAAGAGACACTGCCATATAATCTGATGTAATAAGCAGTCATGTATTGTAGGGAATAGCAACAGGAGGAAGCAAAAAAATATGCACAGATTTGGAGGCTTAATTGCTAGGTGACTCCAAACTTCAAAAATTTATGAAAGCTCCACAGTTTCGACCAACAATGGATTAAGTAACGGTAGAAGTGATAGCACTAACTCAAGTTTTGGTAGTTGCAGCTAGAAGTGATAGCACTAACTCAAGTTTTGGTAGTTGCAGCTAAAACACACTATAATCACCAGAGGTGGTGTATGTCACCTAAGATAGTCCATTTTTTACACTTACAAATTTGCCATAATTGATTACTTTTTAGTTTATAATTCTTTCATATAAGTCCTCAAATCTATCAAGTGATACTGATTTTGGAGGTATGACGCAACACACACAAAATGCAATGAAAGTATTTTTCAATTAAAATATGATTTATGCAATAATATAAATGCGAGCATTAAAAAAGAACTGGCTTCAAGAACTCATTTAAAAACTTTTTTCAATAAGCATAGATAAACATGTATTCACTAGTAAATCAAACAATAAGATAATAGAAATTAATGTCATGAATATAATCACAATCATAAGTGTTTAAAAGATAATTTTTATAAGTAGAAGACGCCCTCACAAACTGGAACTCTTTACGTGGTGTTTTAACCACAAACTACAGATTCTTATTAGATAAAAAGCTACAAAAGGAAACAGATTAAAAGCCAAGAGAAATTCAAAGTTCACCCACAAGTGAACTTGAGATAACCACTTGTCGATGCCTATTAAAGATGTCTTGATTGCTACAGTTCTTGCTCTTTTTGTCATCCCTTCTAAACACGACACCTTTGTAGCGTTAGATCGAGTGCCAAAATGATATGGTGTGGTGGGAGGATCTTTGTGTAATAAGACACTTTCTTTTCCGTGGTAGATTGTATTTGTGAAAACCATAGTGTGGATGGTGACTAGATAGGGTTTGTTTTATAGTTGATAAAGAGGTGGTCAAACTCTTACGGAATGGAATAATTATTTTGGAATTATAGGACAAGGGCTCAGGTATGAATGGATTCATTAGTTGTCCAAATGGAAGAGATTGAGTTTATGGTTAGGTATTGTATGGGAAAGAAGTGGAGTCTTGTGGAGGGTTTAAGTTGCTTTAGGGTTTGATGGAAGGTGAATGGGGTAGCAATAGGTAAGTGTTTTGGGAGTGTTTTGGGGGTGTTTAAGCATTGTAGGGGGAGATTGGGAGTTGGCAATGTTAGGACAAGAATGAAGAAGTTAACTTGAGTAAAGATAATAGGAAACTCACAAAAGTTCCTTGTAGAGTTCAGATACCAAACCTCATCTAATTGTCACCAAGAAAAAGGCAAACTCAATACGTTACAATCCATTATTCAAAAAGATTACATGGCATTCAGTGGCGGAGCCAAAAAGTTTTCATAGGGGATATTTTTAAAAATTTCTAAACATTTTCATCAAGGCTTCATACCGACATTGACAGTTTTATAACTTTTTTATTAGATAATTTTATATCAAAAATAAAATATACAACAATAAAAATAATTCTTGAACATAAAGGATAAGAGAATAATCTGTAGAAGACGATATACACCCATGAAAAGAGAATCTGATCTCTAGTTTCAAATCCCATACCCCCAAACCAAAGTCCCAAACTATAGTTTTTTAATCACACAGCAGACGTGGCTTTCGCAGCTACTGAAGCAAATTTCAACTTCTTTAGAGCATAGCTGATGTGATCTAGTATATCTAGAAGCAAAACAATGTCAAATTCCTACAAGGATCATAGAAATTTTTTTAAATTGCAAAGGTAATAAAACGTTGAGAATAAGAACATTGGCAACAAAAATGTAATAATTACAAGAAAAGGAACATGTCGCGAGCTTTCCAGCACAAGGGAAGGACACAATAACCAACTCTCAAATATTCATTACAACACACCATAATCGGTACATCAAAAGCAAAATCAACAAACAAATGGAGCATTCGAAAAGTGCTGAGCATTTTGCAGATAACTTGGCAGACATGCTAGATAAAGGAATTCTAATTCCCCTCCCAATCTCCGAAAAAGATGGAGCATTCGAAGCAAATTTAGAACACTATTTTAAATTTGTAAAATTTTGAAAGTAAAATCAAACACTTATAAAACAAAGTTAATTTGCAAAATCAAGTAACAAAGACACGGATGGCCAATTAAAATTGATCTAAAATGGTAGCTTGAGCATTTTTCTGAAAGTGAGAGGATGATGATTAAAAAAAAATTGAAAAGAAAAGGATAAGAAGAGTAAGGAAAAAAAAATCTTGAGGAAGTCGATTTCCTTGTTCAAGATATGGTCCTCAAGCTTTAGTCACCTCCGACCAAAAAAGGTTGGGTGCCTGAGCAGAGATTTAGAGATTGATGTCTCCTTCAAAGCCACAATGTGGTGCCATCCATTCTCTGTTCTTGGCAAATGAGCCAAAGCGACAGCTTAAGAAGCATCGCGAGACACCCGACATCGTGGCGAGGGAAGTCGGAGAAGGTTGGCAGGACTATAAATGCAGCACGAGGGTGAGAGAAATAAGATCACCGCCGCCCTAAAGAGCCAGAGGCCCTCATGTCATCCTTCTCCCTCTCTAATCCCCATCTCATCTCTGTGTTCAAATTGTGAGAGAAAGTAACGATAGAGAAAGCCTAGGTGAGGGAAAGCAATGCAGCATTGTCGAGCACGAGACTACGGATGGGAAAGCATTGCGGGAGTTGCTGACGCGGAAACAGCTGCAAGCAGGAAGCAATTTGGATTTTTTTCGTGGTGGGGGGATGCTGAGCCAAATAAGGAAAAAAGGTAGCACCAAATGAATTGCAATTTTCATGAATCTTCTTAAGAGTAATTGGCCCTGAAGCTTTGGAAGGAAATTTGAATTATTTTTTTTCATGTTGCATGCTTAATGAGTCAAGAGGGTCGATCATAGAAATTACGGCATATGGAGTGGTCTTAATATTCAGCACATGGCACTTTGATTAGCCGTTATTGATTGTGCTTATTGCATTAAAGTTTGTAAATGATTATGATGGAGGTGATCTTGATGCAATGTAATAGTTTGTGATCTTGTACAAGTATTGGCAATGCATGCGTGTTTAAGGGCATGGTGCAAGTAGGAAGTGAGAGAAAAATATATAACAAAGGACACATTATCTAGTTTTCAAATGAGAAAAGTTAGGAGTTTTGGTATTGTAGTGTTATGGGATGGGGATTAGAGATAAGACTCATGAATGATCAAACTTTTACAAAATAGAAAAAGAAATTTTAAAAAATTGATTGAATCTCACTCCAATGCTATGTTAAAGGAGGTGTGAGGATAAAATAATGGAGGACAAAGGAGAAACACCATGGGCATAACTAAGAGTGTTAAGCATACTAATTTGGAGAAGTAGAGCGCTCAATTAACCTCACAAATAATGTCATTTATTGGACATCAATGTTCAATCATTTAAATACATGTCATGATCCATATGCTATATAACGGTTTGCAAAGATAGGACCCAAAAATATTAAAATCAAATCTAATACTACTGGACAATTGGATTCGAGACTACTACCATCCAAAAAGGATTACTAAGCCACATTAAAATAATATAGACAAAAAACATGATAAAATTTGGCCAGAATTAATTAAGGTTCTAAAAAGTTCAAAAAATTGATTCAGTTTAGCTCCTTTGACCTGGCCAGAATGAAATAAGGTTCTAAAAAGTTCAGAAAATTGATTCAGTTTAGCTCCTTTGACTTGGCCTGTTTGGGAGTCAACAAGCTTCATGTCCCCAAACAGAAAAAAAAACAAGCAAATATAACAAACAATCAAATAATACTAAAATCTATAACCCTATAAAACAGATCAGATCCGAAACGAGCAGACTGACCTAGGTCACCGCCGCGCTTAGCTGAGCTGCAATCAGAGTAACGTGAAGCGATCTCATCGAACTGGGCCTGGCCGGAGACGATCTTCTCCCGAAGATCCGTCAGTTGAGCGGCGGCTTCATCTCTGGAGGTAGTACTGATCACGCGACCATCGGGATCCTTCCACGACGCCTTCCTCCTCGAGCCTTCGTGCTTTATGAGGATGTGAGAGGCCTTCACCCGTTCCTCTGAAGCCATATCCGCACGATTTGGTCTCTTCTCACTCGCGCGCGAAAAGAACGGGGAAGAGAGTCTCTGATCCTTGAGAGAAATGAACTAGAACCACCGACTACGAAATCCTGAATTTTCACACTAGTCTTCTAAAAATTCTAATTACGTGCGGAAAAGAAGCTAAAAATATTTAACTCAGAATTGTGTGTATAAAGATTATTGGAGGTTAATAAAAGAGGTGGGTTATTGGGAATTTATTGTAATGTCATTGAGGGTATTAACCACAATAATATCTCAATAACCCACTGAGCTGCGGATCATGACAATGAAAAATATTGGTCATGACCAACCTGCCATCGAGGGGAAAAATTTGCTTACGTAAGACGCACGCAGCGTTGTATCCGTTTTGGAGGTTATACAAAAGTTATAAAGGGATTATATTCATGTTATACCCAATTGTAATCTCCATGTAATCTCCTGTAAACAGAAGTGCGGAACTTATTCGTGAATTACAGATATGTTACAGAAGGTTATATGTAGATTACAAGGGGTATAACATGGATATAACTCGTTTATACCCCTTGTATAACCTCCAAAACGTACGCAGCGCTGCGTACATCTTATGTATGTAAATTTTTTCTACCATTAAGGGGATGTATTTGGCATCTGAACATGCGATTTCTAGACACAATATTTTCTCTATTCTTGATATGATTTGAGATACGCTTGCGAGTATTATCTAAGAACAGAAGGTTTTTAGTGAAAGTCATATTTACATAAATACAACTTAATTCTTATGTATTTATTATCTCACGTCAAAAAAATTTAATGTTTACAAATAGCAACTTATTCAAGCATGCAAAGAATATATTTCACTTTTTAAAATTAAAATTATCATAATTTTTATTTGACATGAGAATTGTGTGCTACTTATGTAAATTTGCTTTATTTTTTTATTAGTCCGATATCGCGAGCCCTTTCAAGAAAAATTATTCCATACGGACACCACATGCAGAGAAGCATGCGGTGTCCGATCCCCACTTTTAAATTAAAAAAAAATGTTTATGGTGATCCACGGTGAAGATCGAACATCACATGCATCTCTAATAATCTTTGCAATCAATAATTACTATATGCGATGTACGTATCTAATATTTTCTAGCCCTTTCAAATCAAAAAGCCAACTTCTAACTAAGCTTAAAAGCACAACAAGTCAGGGCCCATAAGTCGGCTTGCTCCCAGGCCCGCCCGCCCGCCGATTTCTAGGGTTTATAGAATCAACAATTCTAGATGACAGATATATCGATCAACAATTCTATCGATGGCGATACCAGGACCTTACTCCGGCGTCAGCACCCTTGCATTTGTGAGTCTCTCTCTTTCTCGTACTCGATAAATTATTGATCGCAGTACCTTGCTGGGTAACTCAATGGAACTTGCTTGGATCGTTCGAAACAGGTTGCACGCGCGTCGGCTCTTACTATCGGCTTCCTCTACGGCGGCGTGAAGCTCTCCTTTCTCCAGGTATTTTATATGTTTATCTATTTTGTTTTTAACGGGCACATTAGGGCCTTCGGGGAGTTGATGTTGTGATTCTGGGTGTGGATAGATGTCATCTATGTTTGATCTCAGGTTATTTTGTGAATTTTGCTATGTGCGGCGTGTGTGGTGATTGTGATGTGAATATTTTGTGTAAATTTTGTGAATCTTTAATAGTATCTTTTTTTTTCTGAGTTGAATCTCAATTGATATGGATGCAGTTTTAATTTGGTGTCCATGGCCTCTCTGATTCAGTTTTGGTAATTGTTGTATGAATTAGAACTAAAAGGGCTTTTTGGATTCAAGCCTAAATGTTAATGAATAAAAGTTGTACATATTCCTGTACAAATTGTATCAGGATGGGCTTGAAAGCTAGAACTTAAGGGGCTGTTTGAATGCAAGCATAATTGTTAGTGAATAAAAGTTGTGTTGGTCTATCCTTATACAAATTGTATCTGGATAGACTTGAATTTGCCTTGAGATTAGTGTAATATAAACTCTTTATGTGCAGCGTTAACTGTAAAACAAACCCAATAATTTTCAAGCCCATCTTGATATAACTTTTTATTAGAAAGTTTTTACATAACATTTTTCCTTTGTTAATTTTACTGCCCTAGCTTTAGCAAATCTTTGCAGTGAAAAATTGTAATAATTTTTTGGATGCTAAAAGTTTTGATTTGAGCTAAGTTTGAAAATTTTTTGGATACAATTAGTACTATACTAGGATTTAACAGTTTTGAATATTGTTTTTAAGTTAAATTGATCACTTAGGTCAGTCATTTAGTCAATATTTATGTTTCTTATTGATTAATTAGATTATAATTTGGCTCATTAGCTTTTATGTAGATTTTGCTTTATATTATTTTAATTATGGTTTAATTAATTTATTAAAGTCTTTTTGGTCTTTTAGTCAAGTAATTAGACCTATACTAAACAATTACTTAATTTTCTAAAGTAATTAAAAAGTTTATCGGCCTACAATAATGAAGTCCTTTTCATGATTAGTGTTTAATTTGCTTAAGTAGGCATCATTAGATTTTGAGTAGAATAATTAATGCATATGACTTATGTAAAATAACTTGAATAGCTTGCAATTAATTTTTGTTCCGGAGATTAACTTTTAAATTGATTAGGGTATAATGTCTAATAAGAAAATAATAAAATTTAATTGCAACAATAAAATATAGAATTTTTAAAATATTGAAATGCATGCATAATTAAAGATTGATTTAAAGACATTAAATCTTAAGCAGGAAAATAAATGCTTAGATTTTTATAAGGGTTAATTAAATTTGATTAAAAAAATAAAATAAAATGGCTAAAATATTCATCAAACTTGTTAATAAATGGTTATTTTACTTTTAAGATGCTAATTAATGCTTAGTTTGTATTTATTAGAATAATTAGTTTTAATAGTTATGTTTAAAAAGTACAATATGATCTATCTATAGGCGTGTGCATGCAAAAATAGGATATATCGATCTATGGGTGTGTGTGTGCATGCACACACATGCACGTGCTTGCATGTTGGTGTATGTATGCATGTGCGTGCATGCGCACTAAGTAGCTATATTCTAGGGGTGTAAATGAGCCGAGTTGGGCTTGAACTTGACTCACTAACGAGCACGTGAGTCAAGCTTATCAAGCTATGAGTTCAAGCTTGAGCTCAAACTCGAGCCTGTGAATTAAATAAGCTCGAATTTGAGCTTACTATGATTCGGTTCGTCAGCTCACGGGCTGGCCTGATTAAAATAAATATTTATAATAGTACATTTTACTTTCTTAAAAAATTAAAAAAAAAACTATTATAGATATAAAAAAGCGGCAATGTAAAAGTTGTAAAGCCAACTGCATTAAATGCAATAATTAACATGCACTTTTCACGATTCTTAGAACAAGTTATCCTCTTTTTTCCCTCCCATGGACGACCATAGGTCCACAAGTCTCGATACCAATTTAGCAAGCGCTGCTGAGACTTCTTATTTCTCATCTTTATTGATTTCTCCAGTGTCTATTGTCAAGCTCTTGAGCTAGTCATAAGTGGATGAGTCAAGCTCTTGAGCCTGGAAATAAGTGGATGAGTCGAGCTCGAGTTCATTCTATGTGGTCGGCCTGAGTTGCTATTTTGACAATGAAGTAGAGCTCAAGTTCGCTGCGACTTGAGCTCGACTCAACTTGATTACACCCTTAATCTATTATATTGTCTAGTTGCTCTTAAATATTATTGTCATTAACAATTAATTTTAAGAAAGGGGTGGTTTGGAGTAGCTCTTAATGAAGATTAGATTGTAGAAAAAATGATGTATAAAATATTGTTAGCTAAAAATTTAACTGAAATATTTGCATAAAAAGGAATAGTTGTGATGAGTTGATTGCGATGATGGCAATTCTTCAAGATTTATGTATGCTGATAAAAATATTTTGTCTATTCTCTCAATCCTAATAGCTTTGAATAATTTATAGTGTCGGTCATAGAACTAACCACTTTTTTGGGGCTCGTTTATGTCACTAGATTAAGCAGATGTGTCGTTGATCAATTATGTGTGTAGACTAGACTCGTTTGACCACTTTGGTTCTCCATGTTATCAAATAGTGCATTGTTTAATGATCAATGACATTAATGCTTCTTAACAACATCTGTAGAGAATGACTTTGCCTTTAATTTCCATCTTTTCAGCAGCTGAGATGTGCTTGTCTATCAAATTGTCAATAAATCTAACACATTCACTTCCAACAACTATAGAATGCGACTTGGTGTCTACCTACTATTTTTCATGTAGTCAATATGTACCTGTTTTATCCTTTTGCTCTCTTGATTGTTGTAATATAATACCAACATGGTGAACTTTATTACATGGAAGCCTCTAGTCCTTTGCATCGGTGTGAACCCTAATTATAGATCCTTTTCCCTCTTGTAAACCACAATTGCCATAATGGAGAGTGAGGAGAGAAATCTAGGGCTCATACAACTTCAAATGTAAACTCCAATTTGTTCAATGCAAATAAATCCATATTTTTCTTTAGGAGTTTATTTTTTCATTCATCCTTTGTTTTCTTTACTCTACGATTGTTTTTCTCATTCTCCAAGATCTCTATCCCAAAGCTATAAAAAAGTTCATCATTTGTGAACGGTTAGTGTTCGACTTTCTAAGTAGGATGCGTTTGACTCATTAATTAGCTCGTGTTCAATTCCCTCGTTATACAAGAGAACTTAACACAAACAATTTTTTTAGCTCAATTTATAAACTAGCCAAACATGAATAAACTTTTGTTCCATCATTTTCGGCTCGAATTAATTAAATATTTAAATAATTAAAATTTATTGTAATATTTTGAAATTAAAATTTTATGCTCTACTTGAAAAATACGCTCTATTTAAAAAAATACTAAATTATATTATTTTTAAATAATTAAAGTTAAATTTAAGCTAAACACGAGCTGAAACGAACAAACGAATTTGAATTAAGTTGAACACAAACATGCTATTCATGGTCTATTTTGAACACATGCCTATTTTAAACTAAAAAAGACTCAAATGAGCCAAACGCGAACTAGCACATGCTCTCTTAAGCTATGCTCATTTAAAACACTATTTTTTCTTCTAGAGTAATCGTGTTGG